CCGATCTGGCTAATCTACATGCCTCCGTCGAAGGAGGCATGTAGTCTAGACACACCCTTAGTGTCTGAATTTTTAATGTAATCCATGTCAGTGTTGAATGGAGACAAACAGTAATCAGAACTTCAATTCTTCCTATATATCTCCTTTCGTGTCCCTGTAACAAGAGGGTCATTCAAACATTCATGAAAGAGCTAATCGGTGAACAGTGACCTTGACTATTATGGTAAAATAACATAGGGATTATCTTCCAGGTTTTGTGTGTGTGTGTGTGTGTCTTTTTTTAAATGGCAAGAATAAGACTTGTGAATAAGTCATCCAATTGTTCCAGCGGTTTCCATGAATACTCTTGAAAACCTGCTTCTGGAGCAAGACCCTCTTTTCCTGTCTTCCTTGAATGAAGTGAGCAGAGAATCAAGAGAGATGAAATACTTGTTTTAAATGGAAGTGGGCTCAGACCTTTCTGTAAGGACATAATATTGGCTACGTTTAGACTACATCCCTTTTTCGTAAAAGGGATGTAAATTACACGTATTGCAATTGCTAACGAAGCAGGGATTTAAATCTCCCCCACTTCATTAGCATAAAAATGGCTGCTGCTTTCCTTCCCGCACGAAGCTTTGTCAGAAAAAAGCGCCAGTCTAGACGCTGATCTTGTGGAAAATAAAGCCTTTTCCAAAAGATCCCTTATTTCATAGAAGAATAAGGGATCTTTTGGAAAAGGCTTTATTTTCCACAAGATCAGCGTCTAGACTGGCGCTTTTTTCTGACAAAGCTTCGTGCGGGAAGGAAAGCAGCAGCCATTTTTATGCTAATGAAGTGGGGGAGATTTAAATCCCTGCTTCGTTAGCAATTGCAATACGTGTAATTTACATCCCTTTTACGAAAAAGGGATGTAGTCTAAACGTAGCCAATATTATGTCCTTACAGAAAGGTCTGAGCCCACTTCCATTTAAAACAAGTATTTCATCTCTCTTGATTCTCTGCTTAGGCGCAGCTAATGGGATTTTGAAAGACGTTGCCTAACCCAAAGAAACAGAGCAGGAACTGAGCAAAATGCAAGGTAGACTGTACCCAAACATCCTCACAATCAATTTTGTGCTGTCATCTGAACCAGTACCATATACCAAGACAGCAGAATGTCTAACTGTGATACTTTGCCATGCACATAAACCATACCAAACAAAATTGTCTTAATGAAAAGAGCAAGGGATCACTTCTAGTGGACCAGCAACTGTATGTTATGAAGTTCTCTGTGAATTGCCAAGCCCATTGTGACACCGGCAGCTGAAGTGATAGCTAGGTTCCAGCCCCATACCAATTCACTTGTGTAATAGAATAGAATAAAGCAATTGTTAAATGTCTGAGTGCACTTGGTGTTGAATCCTGAAAACTCTTGGGGTGTTAGTTGGATTTTTTCATTTGTCTGTATCCTGTTATCCAAGGTAGAGTGTAGTGGCAAACATTTATCTCCCTGCAAATCAATAACCTCTCCAGTGAGTGAGAAGCCTTGTGGCATGCAAATGAGGAACTTTTAATAGAAATATGGTAACTTCAAAGCAAGTACTCATTGTATGAGAAGATCAAAGGCTCCAACTGCATTCCTCACTCCATCAAAGGAAAAGGCCAACGGGTAGTGACATGGCTCCTCGCAGGAAACAAGCTATAAGTATGGATTGAAGGAAGTATCCTGCATCTCTGGATTGTTTGGACTCTTACTGGGAAGCGAGCCAGATGCAAAGTAGAGATTCTGTAGAGAAAATGTCAGTACAGTGAGAAGACTGTTGGGAAACTTGGTGTATTACATTGCTGCCACCATTTAAAATTATAGGCTGTTTCCCCCTGTACATAGAAGTTTCCTGCTTTCACTTTTAATAACTTTCACATTCTCCTTTTATTGAGTAAACCTGCCAGAATTTTATTTAGTGTAAGGCCTAGGGTGCCAATTGGAAGTGGCTGCTTTCTTGGGACTGGAAACACACACCAGAAATCACATTTATTAGTTTTAAGTAACCATTTTATCAAAGTCCAGTTTGTTTTGGGGGGCAAGATAGAAGCCAGGGGGACTGTGTGTGGGGAAAACCTGTTCCATTGGGTCTCTTACTCCTGTGACACAGGGGAGAGCAAGTACTAAGAAGCATCAGTAGAATGATGGGGGGGGGGGGGGGCCTTTAGCCCCCTGCCTCCTCTAAAGGGTTCTTTTATCCCAAGTCTTTATCCTGAGCCCCTAAATGCCCCAACCCTGATTTTTGCACCCCCACACCCCAGAGCTCTGTCCCAAGCTCCTCTTCCACCACTAACCTTGACTCCTGAATCCTTCCACATGTACCCTAACCCTCTGCCCCTGAGCCCCCTACATGCCACCTGCCACTTAAATTTCTTACGGGTACTGTTCTCGCATGTCACATGCATGTACACCCCAACTCCCTGCCCTGAGTCTCCCAGGGGTGCAGTACAACAGTATCTGTAGGAAATGTAAATTACTTTAATCCCTGCTTATTGGCTTGCTAAAATCTAATGACAGAGCACAGCACGAGTTTGGGATATTTGCCCTGTTTTCTGATAGTCTGCCTGTGGATAGGTGCACTCAGTTGTAAGCAGCTCAAGACCGTGTCATGTTCACCACATACTCTGATCTCTACCGAGGTAAAGTATTTACCCTGCTTTGCTCCTTCTGTTAACAGTATTGGCCTTTATGGATTTTTTTGCCAGTATCTGGGAATATCATAGTCCTACCTTTTGCAAACTTTTGTAAATCCAGATTTGGGACATGTTTTATCTAGGCCTCAGTGTGAGGTTATAATGTTTTGGTATTAACCCAAGTGTAAAATAAGAACGGCTAATAATGGGTCAGACCAATGGTCCATCCAGCCCAGTATCCTGTCTGCTGACTGGCCAATGCCAGATGCCCCAGAGGGAGGGGTCACAACAGGTAATCCTCCCTTGTCACTCACCTCCAGAGAAACAGAGGCTAGGGACAAATGGTGAATGCTCAATAGCTAATAGACATTCTGTACTTAATGTTACATTCTCTACCTAATGTATTCCCCCCCACCTCCTACACACACATGCACTGTAAAGAGGGACAATAGAAATATTAGCTTTCATTACAAAACTTCTGGTGAAACATGTTTGAAATTGCTGATTTCTCTAACTGGAAAAGTTTCATGGAGATGATTCAGTTTCATTGAAGCTCTGATGTGAGCCAGGCTCCTTTCTTGGCAGCTCAGAGGCTTGCCTGGCTGGCTCAGAGTTTGGGGCTGCCAGATTTTCTGGGGTCTGTGGCTCTAGGGTAGCCCAGGATTGCTCAAGCTGTGACTGTGATTTGCTTTTACTTCACAACAGATGAAAAGTTGTAGTACAATTGATGTAATACTTATAACTTCACATGTTCAAAGTATAACTCATGTTACCTAACTATCCTCAAAGAATCTCTGGTGGAATTCAGTAAATGTTATCCCCATTTTACAGGTGACAAGCTGTAGACTGATTTGTACAGAGCCACAATTCTACAGACACACCATAGCTTAACCTTATGCATATGAGCTACCCCCCTGAAATCAATGGGACTATTGAAGTGCCTAAAGTTAAGCATGAGCCTGAGTGTTCACAAGATTGAGGGTGTAGTGAGCTAGGCCCTGATTCTTCAATAAACCCCTTATTATTATTTAATTGCAGCAGTGCTCACAGTGTGCACAGTCCCTGTGTTGAGAACCTCCTGGTCTAAGGTATTACCTATGTTGGAATGGGGGTAGTGAAGGAACCCAGGTGTTCATTACTCAATTTGCAAGGTTTATTCTGCTAGGCCACACATGCACTGTAACATTTTAGCACAAAATGCACACACAGCTTAATAAATGCAGAGCAAAAGCCAAGAAAAGAAGATTTCCCCCTAAATATTCAAATTGCAGAGTATAAAGATGTCATAGCTTATGGCCAGTTTCCGACATAGTGAAGAGGAAGGCCACCTCTGACCATGTCTTGACTTTGAATCATCTCAGAGTTCTGAAATAATATTGAGCATTTACATGGCATTTTCAAACTTCAAAGCTAATTAAATCAGTCAGCTCCCTTTTGAACCAGACAAACAGCATGATTATTCCTCTTTTGCAGAAGGGGGAAATAAGGCAGAAAGGTGAAACGATTTGCCTAGAGCTGCAGAGAGAGTCAGTGTGGCATGGGATTAGAGCACCTGAATGGTAGGTTTGTAATGTCACACTCAGGATACTGGACTACAGAACAGAGGTTGCTGTATGTTGTAATAGGCATATGCCTCTGGCAAGGCCAGGGCTCCTAATAGATCATAGAAATGCTTCATAGTGCCATTCAGGGTTCACTTAAAAACTGTGTATATTCAGGGCACATCAGGTAGCCCCAGTAATGGGTTGGGGTGAAGTGGTTGTGAGGTACCAACACCTAAGTATTACCATGACTGGTGATATAGATGCACATTAGAGGTGGATGGAATCTGTATATCTTTACTCATTTCCCCTCATTTTGCATATACTGTATCATACTCTATACAGTTACTCAAAGGGAAGGAGCCACAAGGTGCCTATTCAGGCTGTTGCAAGAACGTGTGACTAATACCCATGTTATCTGCAGGGCTGGCTCATTGCTGAATCATGCTCTTACCTTGTGGAATGTCTACCACGCACTATCCAGGAGGCTAAGGTGGACAAAGAACTCTATTGGATAGAAATAGCTGCCAATCATAGCCGTACCCTTGTCTGAGCACTATTAATAGTGGCTGTGTGAGACCCGACTTCTGCATTTGCTCTGGGTGGTGTTTGTGCTTCAGTAGAATTTGCCCAGAACCTCATTGGGCCCTAAATTATTACAGTCGCTGTAGAATTACATCTGCCAAATAGAATCCCAGGTGTGTCAGAACTTCCATGCTGAATTTGAGGCTACTGTGAACCATGTTGTAAAATGGGGCTGTGTAACAGCTTTGTCTATCTGTCCATGGTGAGTGTCTGTGTTTCTTAGACCCCCAAAAAGAGTCTAAGGCTTAACTTTAGAAATGTTTCTGAACCTTGTTTCTTGCTGGTGTGGCTGTTTTCCTTGGTGGAGAACTATCAGATGGTCTTTTATCTAGACACCAGTAATGCATTGTATTGGAGGTAATACTAATTTGAAAACAATAGAGGGTTATTTGGGGTACTGTGGCTACAGAATGGGCTCAAATAAAGGTCCCTGTATAGGAGACTGAAACTTGAGGATTTTGAAGCACTGCTGTGGAAGCTGTAGGAAGGAAGATGTGCTCATAGGAGCAGAGCCAGTTGTACTGTAGAATATATGTAAGGGTGTGTCTAGACTACAGGGTTTTGTCGACAAAAGTCCACTTTTGTCGACAAAACTATACCTGCGTCTACACTACCGCTGAGTTCTGTCGACATAACGTCGACAGAACTCAGCAGTTTTGTCGACGCTGGTAAACCTCATTTTACGAGGCATAACGCCTTCTGTCGACAGAGTTCTGTCGACAGAAGGTGTTATTGCATGTAAACTGTCCTTTGCGTCTACACTACCATGTCGACAAAGACAGCTTGCTTTGTCGACAGAACTGAATGTAGACGCTCTTTGTCGACAGAAGCTTTGTCGACAGTATCTGTCGACAAAACTTCTGTCGACAAAAGCCTGTAGTCTAGACGTACCCAAAGAGAATATCCTAACTATCTGTGATTCCTTAACTAGCCATAGTTGTAATGTGTAATGCTCATTTCTTTTATTTTCACAGTCCTGCTCTTTTGACCATGATGATATGGCTTTGAGGCACACAGCCCAGTTCCTGGAGAAGTCCTATGAGGCGAGGAAGCATGCAGAGAGATTTCTGTCATGCCAGAAAACAAAAGGGGTGGAGGGAGGGATTGTCATGCAGGACATCAAGGCACAAAACAAATCCATTCATGTGCCCAGAAAAGGGATTTTTAAAACTATATTGAGAAGGATTCAATATTTCCAGATAAACTACAATCTCAGGTTATTGCTGCATTATCGTTATACTCTTTTCTTGTATAAATGGGTGGTTTTAATAACTTATTTTCTGTCAGTCAAGAAAAGCTTCTATCTGGAGTGACTTGATATGAATATGTGTTAACAGATGCCTGTAACTTATAAGTAAAACACTAAGGGGTGCTGTGGATCTGCATTTTAAAACTGTGTGGGAAGCTTGTACACCTTTTTCTTGCAATATGCTTAGCTGTAGTTGATGCTATTGTTCTTTCCCCTACAAAGCCTGGTCTACACTAGGGAGTTATTTCAAAAGAACCCTTCCTTATGTCAAAATAGTAAGCAGAGGGTCCATACTACGAAGCCTGTTATTTTGAAATAATGGGCTGGTTATTTCGAAATCTGTACTCCTGCTTTCCTCGAGGAATAATGCTTATTTTGAAACAGTTATTTTGAAATAGGGGTAGTGTGGATGCTCCACTGCTGCTATTTCAAAATAACTACTCTCCAGAGTAATTTGAAGTAATTGCTTCCCCAGTGCTTCCTGCGGCTCAACACTGCACAGCAATTTCAGAATACTAGAGGTATCCTGAAATAACTACCCTGCATCTACTTAAGTGATCCATTAATTCAAAATATTTTTTGAAATTACAAGTGTGCTTTTTTTGCCATCCCAGTAAACGTTGGTGCAAAATGTGGTGTAGATGTGCCAAATTTCAAAATAAACTACTGTTTATCTTATTTAGAATTGAGGGTGCTGTGTAGATGCACCCAGAGTCAAGGTAGTGCATCCACAATAATAAGCCTGCCTTGGACCAATTTCAAGGGTTCCTTGTAGTGGGACATGCTATTTCAATTTTATTATTTCAGGAATTATTACCTCTATTTTAGTTATTTCAAAATAGTTTCCTAGTGTAGACATGCCCAAGAGTATTGAGGCACTGTATACTGTCTGAAGAAAGGCTGCTAGCAGTAGAGGACAACTTCCTCAAATACTGGTAGGCTGAGGGACCTTCTGGCAAATTAGCAGGCATAGTGGCTCAGATGAGTTTCAATATAACTGATGCAACTTAAATCCTTGCTTGCTTATATTAGTGCCATACCAGTACAACTACTTTCCTGGAGGAGATGGCAACTTGCTCCTTTGGAGTCTGCCTTGTGTAGCAGGGGAAGGGAGAGGGAGTCTTGATAGTGAGGGAAGTGGAATGCTTCAAGCAAGTCCTCAGCACCTTTCCCTGATCCTCGTTGAATTAGCAGGATATTCTGCAATCACTGTGTTAGCTTAATTCTCTGCCTTCAAAGTACCCCTTGTTACTTCTCTTGTTCTAAAGGCTGACATGTCCTTGGACCCTATGTGGTCCCACAATCCTCATGAAGATGAGGTCCGCTAGCATATCAAATTTTTTTCACATGCAGAAGCCAGAGCAGGATGAGTGGGCAAACAGCCTGGAGGCCCTGCAGTGTGTCCTGAAACCGGTGAACTCTTTTGGACTGGGGATGTAAAGGGTTAATTGGTTATTTGGTAAGCATGCACTTTACCAGCATGCTTACCCGGGTAACTGGTTAACTGGCAGGGGGCTGCTGTGGCCGGGCAGTGCAGTGGGCCTGGCCTGGTTTTCCCAGAGCAGCCTGCATCACAGTGGGCCTGGTGTGGTTGGAGCTGTCCCCTGCCCATGAGATGTTCCAGCCCAGCCCACCACGAGGCACTGCGGGTGGAAGGCCAGTAGCCCTGTGCCACAGGATCATGGTTAACTGTTCCATTTAAATGGTGAACTTTTTAACTGGGATTTTACATCCCTATTTTGAACCTGCACAGACTGCTGTGGAGGAGTATGACCTCTCCCCTCCCCCCATATGAATAATCATGTGGCTACCCTCAAATCCTGCTTGTGGAGATACTCAAGTTTAATGGTCCATTTTAGCCTGGCTTTCTGAGTTGGTGGACACGGGGGGTGGGTGGAAACACACCTAGGTGATTTTGAGCCATAATAAGCTGTTCATTGTCATCCAAGGTAGACATATGGCGCCTCTGCTGCAAATCACGAGCACAGTTAGGAATTGGAGAAGTTACAATGTTTTGCAATCAACTGAACTAACAGAATGAGCATTGCTAGATCCTAAGTTACTTGTCATGGATTAATTGGCAGCTACAAATTGTTGCTGGGTCTTATATAGATTGCAGAGGAGAATCTAGTTACTGCCTTTTGAACATGTCAGACCAGTGAGTAACCTTCCTTTTTTCTTCAGGGACTGTTATGTGTAAGCCAGTCACTGAGGCTAATAAAAGAGCTTCCATAAAGCGTGGCCAAACTGAACTTATTCCTGGTGTAATACCACAAAAAAAAAAATCAAGTACCATTCAGGACCATTACGTAAACCAGAGGAAGCCCCAAAATGCGTGCAACATTTACAGATCAATGGAAAATGCTGACTTTTGGAGAACAAAACTAGATGCTGTCGGAACTGCAGATAACAAATGGAGAATACTAGTCCCTGCAGACTGCTCCTAAATCCATGCAAAAACTACTTAATGATATGTCCCCGGCTTTCACTGAAGCAAATGGGACTCTTGTCTGTCTGGCAAAGATGGGAGGCTCTAAACTTTGTGCTGTAAATTCTTGGAATACATTACGATTATCAGACTTAATCAGAGGAACATAATATTAAAATGTCCGTACTGGATCAGACCAACAGTCTTTCCCAGTATCCCATTTGAAAACAGAGAGTGTCCGATAATACAGCGGGAATGAATAGAAAAAAGCAACTCTGAGTCGTCCAGTCCTAGCTTGTGGTGATTGGAGGTCTAGGAACATGCAGTACATAGAGGTCATACTTTATCATAGCAGTGAGATAAATGCACTAAACCAAAAGTAATGTGGTGGAGCAGCAATAAGTCTGTCTTTCCTTTCCTGCAGCTCTGACACACCCCAGAGTCGGACTTTCTGGAAGAGCAGATGAAGGCCATTGAGCAGCTGGGAGACCACCTCACCAACCTGCAACAGCAAGGAGTGCTCCAGAATAGTATATGAGAGTACCTGTTTGACAAGCTCACCTGAAAGGAGAGCAGCTGAACCCTTCACTTCTAGTCTTTGGTAAGAACCCCAGATCTCACATCTAGAAAGCAGCCTATCCTTTCAGTATGGTGAATAAAATTTGCCTTCAGGCTATTACTTGGTTTCCTCAGCGTTAACTTTTCATTGTATATGAAATGTAAAACACTGTCATGGAATCTGCCTCCTGGTCTTCCCACATGGAAAAATACACATGATCGTGTGCTTTAAAAGCTACATAATGGGCAAATACATTCTTCGTCTACTCTCTCCTACAATAGCATTTCTGGTTCTGTTCACCGTAGCAGGAATTGCCAAGCCCGAAAGCAAATGCCTGAAGTAAAATATACGGTAAGTCTTGAATAACCTTCTGAAATGTAGGCTCTATTTTGTGTGCAAGGAGGGAAGTTCTAATGGACAATAGGATTCTTTTAATTAGAGTAACTGGAAGTGCTGATTGTTCTTTCAGGATGGTCATTAGATGGAAATTACCTTTTCACAATAATCCAGGTTTTATTTTCTGACCATTTGAAATTGCAATGGGGGTGAATTGGAGCCACTTTCATTGCTGGGAAAGCGAGTGCCTTTCTCATTCATCAAACCCCCCAAACCATGAAATGAAACAAGTGCACTTGTAAAATGGTCCCCTGAAACGAGGCGAAAGGGAGGTGATGGGGAATCAAGGTATTCAGGAGTTACTTATAAGCTAGTCCTTTTAGACTTCTAGTGGATACAGTGCACGTTATGACTACATAATACAGTACTATCTAAATTTTATGGTAACTTGGTGCTAATCCCTTTAAATCCAGCCAAAGAGCAGTGCTGGTTTTCTTGCTCTCAGTTCTGAAGTTGATAATGGAACTCTTCCTCACCCTGTCTCCTGGGACCTTGTAATAAAAAAATACTGGATTCTTGTCCACATAGAATCTGAAGATTGGTGCTCTTTGCCATAGTAACAAAACACATGATCAGCTTTGCTGTGACTACAGGAGCATATCTCCATACTAGCCTTGGCCGGAACCCTATTCTCTGTGGAGTGTCACTGTGGCAACTAGCCTTTCATCTCTCAGGTATAGCTGCACGTACCGCCAAAGAGGGGAAACACTGGGGCTACATCTACACTATAATGGACTCCCTATTACAGCATCCGGGAGGAATAAGGGATATTTCGGAATAGCGGTTTATTTCGAAATTTGGTGCTGTGTAGGTCAGAATTCCAAGCTTTTGGTCAAACATAACAAAAGATCACTTGTATAAAACCTGATACCATATAGTGAACACTTATGTGCAACCACTAGTGGGACTGTAGGAAGAACCATTCCCATAGGCTTGAATGCCAAAAATCCTGGGAAGATGGACCAAAGCTTGGTGCAGTGTATGTATGGCAGGAAATTGGTTATAAGGTTAAATGCCCAAAGTTTGAAACCCCTCTGTTCTGGACATGAAGATCCAATAAAATGGTTGATACTACTGGAGCAAAGACTTAAGGCAATTCATTTGGCTTTCCCCATGCTGGGGATGTTGATGGGGTGTAGATTGTATTGCTGAGTCCTACAGGCATAAGATTAGCTTCTTGTTTCCTCTCACTAGTTTGGTACTAGCTGCTCTTGTGACAGTCCTACTCAAAATGAGGGCTGTCTTTATTATCTCTGAGATTTTCACTGTCTTCAAAAGGTAGAAATTTGGAGTCTCCATTCATCTAATAAGACTTTCATCATCTAGCTCAAGTCTCATGAAAATAGGTGTTCTTGTGTTTCTGAGCTGGGCTAACCATGGGGCCACCCAATGGTTCAGTTATAGGCTCAATTTTAGCCCTTCTTTATTTGTTTCCTTCATGACCATTCCCTGTCATTTAAATACACAATGATACAGTCTTTGGGTGCTTTTACTATGCCTTAATGTACAAATACACTTTAGAACTCAGATGGAATAGGCCAGTGAGTAACTCACACACAATCTCACGTTTTGTTCACTCTAAATAAAAGAAGATAAAGAGTAACCATTTATTTAAATTTAGGTTTCTAACCTAAGGACTAGCTGTAATATAGATCACTTTTTGCATTGTTTGTTTGAATAGTTTTTAGGCATGGATTTCAAAGGCGTGTAATGATATTGATACTGTGCCAGCTTTGTGGTGTATTGAAAGGCCTGGTTCAATGAAGTTATTTAACTACACAATCTTCTTAGGGAGAAAGTACTAGATGGAACAAAACAGTGAATATTTTTCTTTCTTCCAGAAAATGTAAATATTTATTGAAATGAAGAAAAAAAAGAAGCATAAAATGGTGCCAAACACAACAGGTAATTGTTTTCTGTTCAGCTGCAGGCCTCTGTCTCTAAATAGAGTTGTTAGCACACTACCTGTCTACTAAATTATAGTTACACCCACCAAGTATTGTGGATAGGAATACAAGCAGCACTTGGCTTCCTGTTATTTGTTAGACGCATTTTTTGGCTTTGTAGCAGTGTTGTAGTTTTACAAATTTTTAATGTACCATTTGCAAGGAAGTGGTTGGTTTGCTGTCCTGGGAACCTGGTCTCATTCAGTATTGCATGTACAGTTGGAGTGCAAGTTCCCCTTGTATGGTGCTGGCAATGTGCTTCAAACCTGAGCTGATGCAGCTACATATGTACGGGAGAAGGTAGTTCAGTCTGAGGATGTCTACACTAGGAAATTATTTCAAAATAACTAAATTCAGAATAATAACTCCCAAAATAACTATTTCAGAATAAGCGTAGTCCCCCAGGAAGGCAGGAATACAGATTTTGAAATAAGCAGCCTTAGTAGTGTGGATGGTCCACGTATTATTTCAAAATAAGGGGGGGTATTTTGTAATCACACCCTAGTGTAGACCAGGGCTTCATGTCTGCACAGTCCAGGGCATTTCTTTTGAGACTGACATCAAGGTTGCCAGCTGTGGCACTCACCATGATACATTTTATTATTAATGTATTATTAATTAATACACTCATTAATGTATCTCAAAGTCACTGTATTGTTTCCAGCCAATTTCACAAGCTAACTCCACAGGGAAGTCTTAGAACTTAACTTTGTTTAAAAGTTTGATTCCTATAATGAAGGTATAAATAAAGACATTAGGAGTGGAATGTAGTGGGCCATCCAGCCAATGATATAAAAATGCAAGCAATGGGTACTTATGAACAATTAGCACTTTCTCTATCAGCTTCATGTAGCATGGATACTATTTCTTTCCCTTTTTTTTTTATTTTCCTCCTTTCTCCTCCCCGCCCCAGCCCCACCACACTGCCCCTTCTCCTC